GCGGCATCGGCGAGACAGCTTCCTTGCGGCTTTCACTGCCCCGCGTCACAATCAGGCATTACCCCGCAGATAACTCAGCACCAAACACACTTTAAACAGGCAATCCAATTAGGAGACGGCAGCAGATGCGCCACTGTTGTCCGTTGCGAGCCATGTCCTGCAGTCTCGAGCCAAGCACGAGGTGAGTCACGCGGACTCCAACCCGGAAGGTCAGACGGACCAATGGCACCCAGTTTGGTAGTCAATAACTTCATTTCCAGCTGCCAAGTCAACTTCTGTCCACCTCGAGCCTTGCGTCACCCTACACCTGGCAGACTGAATAAGGCCCTCCTAGGTAAGCGGTGACCAGGCATACGTAGCACGTGCCCGAGCCAACGCAACTTATTCAGTGCTATCTGTTGTTCTAGGGAGCTAGCATGATTATCACCACCTAGTACTCGCCTACGCACATCATCGTTGCGAACACGCTTGTACCATCCGACACCAGCAATGCTGCGCAGACAACGATGATCAAAGACTTGAAGGCGCCTCAGATCTTCAGACCGAAAGGGCCAAGTTCCACTACCATAGAGCAGAACGATTCTCACTGTGGCCTTGTATACCCGGCCTTTCAGACGGAGGGAAACTCCCTTCTGTCGCCAAAGATGTCGCAGATTCAAGAAGGCAGCTCTGGCTTTTGCAATGCGTGAGATGACGTCACTTTCTATGCGATCATCATTGCTGGTGCAGCTGCCAAGATAAGTGAAATGATCAACCACCTTGAGTTCCTCGTTAGCAAGCGTCAAGGGGTCATCAAGTGGCTGGTGGTCCTGCAGCAACACTTTTCACTTTGAAGGTGCGAAGTGCATACCAAATAATGGGACCACTCTGGACAGGCTATTCAGGGTTAATTGTGCCACCGCAAAATCGTCGAAAAGCAAGACAATATCGTCCGCATAATCTAGGTCAACTAACTTTTCACCATGCAGCACTTCAACGCCTACATCATGAGATTCCGCAAGGGAACACTCCATGATAGAATCCACGACGAAATTGAACAAAAACGGGGAAATCGGACAACCCTGACGAACGCCACTTGTGGTCGGAAAGCTATCCGATAGGCCACCGTAGACCCTGACGCGACCTGTAGTATTCGAGTATAGAGCACGAAGGATGTTCACATATTTCGTGGGAACACCTTTCCGCGCAAGTATTTCGAACAGAATCGATCGATCGACTGAATCGAACGCACTCTTTATATCTAGAAACACAGCTATTGTGGGTCTGCGGTATGCGTGGCGCTGCTCTAGCACCTGCCGCAAAGTAAATATATGGTCTATACAGCCACGTCCTGGGCGGAAACTAATCTGCTCTTCCCTAATCCGAGATTCCCGTTCTGCAGTGAGGCGACGAACGAGAATCGAGGCCAGTAATTTTGTCACAACTGGTGTTAGGCTAATACCCCTGTGGTTAGAACAGTCTGTGCGACTGCCCTTCTTGTATATTGCCACTATAATCGATTCGCTCCAATTAGCCGGGACACTTCGTTCCAGATACATTCGAATAAGGAGGTCAGTGGCCTTCAGAGGACCTCAGCTCCATCCTTAAGTAGTGCAGGTGGGAGGGAATCCGGGTCAGCGGCACGAAAACGGTTAAGGGCTGTGATCGCGTTTCGGACCTCGGCCTCCGACGGAGGCTCTAAACTAACCGTCCATGCCTCGTCCTGCATCACCTGAGTATGAAGAGGTCCGGGAGCAGGGGGGCCAGCTGAACTGATCTTGAAAGTGTTCCGCCATACGGCGCTCCTTATTGTGTATCAGCGCACCCGCGCTGTCTCTGATTGTGTCACTGACGCCTAGTTTTCTGGGACCAGTGGTGCGGATAAGCTGGAAGAGCTTGCGGTAATTGCCTACTGCTCCTGCCTCCTCCATTTCTTGAGCCCCACTGGTCCACCAGACTTTCTTGTCAGCACGTAGGCTCTGCTTTAGTTCACGCCTACTAGCCCGTCTGGTCACATTGTGTTCAGAGCCAGCCGGGAGGTGTCTTCTAGATTCCAACAGGTTCACGAACCTCTCGGATATCCAGTGACTAGTGCGGTGACGATGGATAGTGATACAAGCAGATGCTCCTGCGTCGTGCATGGCGGCAGAGATCCTATTCCACTGAAGCTCAGTGTCATTAGGACAAGACAGCGGAAGTTCGGTATACAGCGCTTTTTGATAGGCTTGCCTGACCGAAGACTGAGACAATTTCTCCGTTGCCATTCGGAGGAGATGCTTTGTGCGCCTCCCGGTAAAGTTCATGGGGAAACGACAGCGTACCAAGGCATGATCAGAGTCGACACAGGTACTCCAGTACGAGCGGCAATCCAGAATGGAACCGCGCCACCTGTAACTTGTGGCTATGTGGTCAATTTGGGTCCATCGCTGGCCAGCTACAGGAGGACGCCAAGTGGCACTTCGGCGCCCACTGTGTCTAAAAGCAGTGCTAGTAAGAAACAACTGGTGCTCCGCGCACAGTTGCAGCAGACGCTCACCGTTGTCAGTCCGTTCGGAGTTAAGTCCATAATTACCGCCCAGCTGAGCTTCTGAAGAGCTCAGACGCCCTACTTGTGCGTTCATATCCCCTGCAAGTACTATAATATCTGAACTAGTAGCACTGCGTAGTAGCGCGCTCACTTCATGATAGAATGTGCCCTTGACAGCATTAGAACTACAGTCGGTGGGAGCATAAGCGGAAATCACAAACAAACAGCGTTTTGTACTACTTCGTGAATCAACCTTAGCTGACGTCGTCAAACGTGCTGCACATAAACAGCTGTTCACCGGAATCCAATCAACCAACGATGGCTCAGCCTTGGAGCTGATAATGATACCTACACCAGTTTGACCCGTGAGTGCTGCATCGGCGTCTCTGGATGCGTGCAACCAATAACGAAAGGATAAGCCGAGTGCAGTTAATTCAATAACCCCGTTAGCTTCATTGATCCTAGTTTCGGACACACAACACGCATCAATACCCAGTGTGTCCAAGGTGCGTGCGAGTGCAGCCTGCTGACCTGTTTGTCTTAGAGTGCGAATGTTGTATGTCGCCATGGAAACGGGATAGCGTGGTTTTATAAGGGACTTGCCGTTAGGTGCTGTGGGATGGTGGCTGCAGATAGTTCTACTCCAGTAGCACTTCGGTTGCTGTCACTTAAGCTGGGAATTATAGAAGGAAGGTTAGTAATGGGGGCCGGGATGGGAGTAAGAGAAAAAGGTGGAAAGGAAAGAAGGGAGGCGCCAGCAGTAGCAGGTTTTCGCTTATCCACCCTGCTGTATGCAGTAGATAAGGCGACTCTTGGTAATCTGCGCGACGGCCGATGCAGGATGAAGTTTATGTTTGAAGAAGACGTCATGGTTGCATGTGGGCTGAGATACTACCAGGGCGCCCAGACCTAGACAGGAGGACGATTAGGGTCCTCATCCAAAGCCTTTGGCTCAAAAGTCTGTCCGCAAGGCAGCGGGGAGGTGGCAATGATTTAGTTTTACAGAAATGGACGCCATCCCATTTCAAACCCTCAAACTGGAGGACCAGGAGACTGAGTTTGTCTGATTTCTCACCACTGACGACCATAGTAGGAGTAGCTCTCAAGGTGCCCGGAGGCATCACGCAGTATAGCTCAATGGGTCAATGAGGTACGCAAACCGTCGCACCACCTTAAGGTCTAGTCTCATTGCGAAAAGAGAGGATACGCCCGAGAAAATGTAAGCATCATCAAAACGTTTCATGTGCGTACCTCGGACAGGATGAGGGTTTACAGCAAACTGCCACTGCCCTTCAATGTCTCTAGCGGTGTGAGATAAGAATGCTCGCTGCCACTTTTCCTTCACAACTTCTCCATCGAGGAGGTTCTGGAAACGGCGTTCACTGTGCACGACCTAGAAGCTGTGCAGCTGCCCTAAGTGATCAACTTCTTGACTTTTAGTATGTGGACGATATTCCCCTAATCTGACGAATCGCAAACATGCCAAGCATCATTGGATATACTAGCATTGGCTGTTAACCATTACCAGCTCCGCTTTGCATCCTACAAATGCAAAACTATGCCTCAAGATTTGCAGGGACCGCCCATGCGTTGACCCTAACTGGGGATCAACTAGGAGTCATTCGGAGATTCAACTGCCTGGATGACCGTATCAGTGCCCGTGGTGTGGAAAACAATATCACGATCCGTATAGCATAAGCTCGAGGTGTTTTTGCCAATTGTGGCCCCGGCCCTGTGGGGTCGAGTCTCTAATGCATCCGTGCTTTCAACCCTGTTAAGCTGTTGTGAAACCTTGCTCATCAAATGGACGGATTTAGAGAGGATTGTTACGTTGTCTTCGCAACTTACTTCACACCTGGTAGGAATACCTTGCGATCAATGAGCGTGTTCGGCGTCTTGTTTCTGGGGCCATCATTGTAGACGCCAGGCTCGGATGACTGAGCCGTGTGTTACGCATGCCAACACATTGACTCCTGCGACGTGCCTTGTTTGGACGATCGCGATTTTAACAGAAGAAAGGGATGAGATGCCAGCTGCTGACCTAGTCAAAAGGAATGAAGGCTGTCACTTCGAACTTGACCTGTGTTGTCGTCTCTTGATTCCATGGTTGCCATCCGTAGGGCTTTAGACGTTTCGGTAAATGGCACCTGTCAACATGGCGTAGAGCCAACCTCAGTGGTGCTTGTTATTTCTTTATCTCGCGTCATCCTTCTTAAACTCCATCTTCGACCACATCTCATTCTTGATCCATAACAAAGCACAATGTTAATTGTTTTGCTTTTTCCGACCATCTAATTGAGTGCTACTTCGGTACAATAGCTGGGCCTCTTCCCTCCTTTAGCTATCTTGTAATATGATGAATACCTACTGTGGACTGCACGTTGTCCCCAAGTAACATGATCGTTGTTTCACCATATTCCTAACCAGAACGCAAAAATTACACAGACGGACTTAAACTAAAAGTAACTCAAAGATACCGACACTTTGTGCTCACCTTCCGCTGATCCTTCCGTCAAACTTCCCGTTTCTCCCGTTTCGTCGCTATTCCGACCACTGCGTTCGAGCTCTGTTTCATATTGCTCCCATCTGACGTTCTCCATTGACGTGTTCCTGTTGCGCGCGTGGCTATGCCCATGCGATATCCTTGACGCATCAACCATGGACAATTTGGATGGAAAAGCGAGCTTAGTGTCTCGAATCACACAGCTGCATGGGATCGAAATCCTTTGCGGTTCATACACTATAGTGGATATTGTCGACGGGTGATAATACGACGCCCAATTGTCGTCCACTCGTAGTGTAGGATAGTTGACATCGTCAGTCTGTATCCAGGGTGACTCATCGAATTGCGTACAGTTGAGTGGCATCAGTGGACCTCCTTCCGCTATCTGTGCATCGACAAATTCCGAAGTAGTGACTTCTACTTCAGTGTCTGATTGGCTGTGTCGGTCCGGTCTTACTTGTCGACTGTCAACTCTATACCGGGAATCCAGCATACTTTCTGTTACGTCGTGCAGAGGCTCCATGCCCGTCTGAGGGGTGCGTGCCGACACACGCACTTCCGAAGAGATTGGATCCACTGTTTCTCCGTCATCAAATCGGCTGTGAGTCCATTGCATAGCACGTTTGCGACTGTGTCCACTGTCTGGCTGGATAAAGCTAGCTGGTATGCCGTTTGTAACCCTGCAATATGCCTTGTTGGTTGAGGTGGGGGGTACGTGCTGCGGGGGGGGGGCGAAATGAAGGGAGAATTGCTCAAAATAAGCGAAAAAAGCAGTCGACGAGCATACCCACTAGATGGGCATTGGATGTATCAATGTATTGGAGTGCTTACCAATTCAAGAATAAAATACTATTTTCAACTTCAATGTAGTGGGTTCGCGGTTACTGACAGCGACTGATAGTCCCCTACTGATTACTCGTCTCTTACAGATGGCATGGGACCCCAAGAAGCCCATCTTAGAGTGACATTCCACACCACTGGAAAGCCTACATTACTCACGGAAGACAATTATTCTTAAGAGATCCAGGCCATGTGTTAACTGATGCTGCAAGGCTTACAGCACCGTGTGAATCAAGGAACTCCATGCTATCAATGACCACAGAATCTCTATGGACTGGATTCACTTGTTGATTGAGTCTGATATTGCTTTATTTAATCAAGAAATGGAACCCTTCGGCTATACATTTGTTCAAATGACCCTTTGGCTTTTTAAAGGCGCTGGTTGCAATGGCATCAATCTTTTCATCTAAGTCAGGGTGTACGATTCTGCGACGTCAGTAGGGCATACTGAAGACCATCGGAGATTAACCCGGTATTCCTTTGGTTACTGGATCTAGGATAGTGCTAGTTACTTAGGAAGCATTCATTAGCCTAATGTCTAGTGTCATTAATTTATCTTGTCGTTTATGCTGACGGCAACGCTGCGCAATATGTAACTGGCCCAAATCAGCTTGCAACCTTTGCTTCGTGTTTACCTTGGATATCCTAGGGCATATATTTGGAACCAGTGGGGTGAATCATGAATGTAGAAATGCTTGAAGACCATTAGTTGGTGCATTTGATAATCAACATTTCATTTCCGGTATGAAAACAACCAAGTCAATGGACCTAGCATGACATTGGCACGACAGTTTACTATAAACGTGGGCGAAAATTCTTAATAAAAGGGGTACCTCTAAGGGTAGTTGCAGTTCCGTGTTTAGCTATCTCAAATCTCCGGAAGTGATTGCCTTGATGACTCACTGAAAATCATATTGACATCTGAGCTCCTGTTGGTGTTGCCGGAGTGTCCACTAGATCATCATTATACACATCAGCCAGAGGTTGGAAACACCTCAGCTACCGTGCCGCAATACATTAAGGAAAAGGAAAATAAACACAACAGTTGCATGCCACCTGAGCTACCAGCAACGGATAGGCATCGTTCCGGTAAGCTACCGGCCGGCTAATAGGCAAAAAGGAAAATTATTATGTTTTACGTTACGAAATGAGATCGTGGGTGAAAGGGATGGGGAGGGACAAAGAAACTCACAGCAGGAACGCCACTGAGGTCGGCTCCTTGCCATGTCAGCAAGTGTATCTAGCCAAACGTGTTCACCGTCTTTTGGACCCCAACCAGGGAGCCGTGACGCTCCAACCGAGGCCAGCACCGAAGTGAGGGCCTTCATTCCTCCGGACCAAGTCATCACTTGGCCACCCCTCCTCTTTTTCCATCCACATTTCTGGTGAGCAAACAACGCACGTTGCGGAAGTCGGTGGGCTGGCATGCGCAACACGTGGCCCAGCCATCGGAGCCTGATGCGTGAAATGACAGTGCTGAGCGGTTCAGTTCCTTTTTCTGTGCCGTAAACAAGGCGTCGAACACGTTCGTTACTCGCGCAGTGTTCCCACCAGATGTGAGCCAAACTGCGAAGGTACCGATGCTCGAACGTAACTAGCCTCTTCATGTTCACCGATCTTAGGGGCCAGGTTTCGCAACCGTACAGTAAGGTCGAACGTACCGCTACATTGCACACTCTACCTTTCAGGGCGAGAGTAATGTCGCGCCGCCGCCATAGGTGGCGAAGGTTGGCAAAAGCACTTCGAGCTTTTGCTATACGGTTCGTGATCTCATCTTCGATCCCAAGGGCGCTGATACAACTTCCCAGATAGTTGAATCTTCGAACGACTTCTAGCTGATCCCCACCAAGGGTCAGCGCAGGAGGCGATCCGTGCCAATCTTGGAGGAACGCTTTGCATTTCGATGGTGCAAATCAAAGCCCGAAGCGGCTGACAGCCAGTGCTAATCTGTCCAGCGCGGCTTGGCACGTCTGGGAAGTGTCACAGATGAGGGCAATGTCGTCTGCATACCCCAATTTGAGAAGTCGTTCTCCTGGGAGTAGCTCCACACCTTCCAAGTCATGTCCTTTAAATGGAATCTCCATGACTTCGTCAATAGCGAAGTTGAAGAGGAAAGGTGACAGCGGGCATCCTTGTCTCACACCGCTGGAGATATTGAAGGGTGGCGACAGCTTGCCGTAAGCTCTCACTCTGCACGTGCTGCGCGCGTACAATGCTTGGATAATATTTACATATTTCTCGGGCACACCTTTCCTGACTAGACAATTCCAAAAAGCATATCGATCAACCGAATCGAAGGCACATTTGATGTCAAGAAACACGATTACGGTGGGCCGCCAATATGTGTGACGGTGCTCCAACAACTGACGCAAGGTGAAGATATGGTCGATACAGCTACGACCCCGACGAAACCCGGCTTGATCTTCACGAATCTGGCTTTCATGAGCGCCAGTCACTCTGTGAAGAATTATGGAGGCGAGTAATTTCGAGGCGATGGATATCAGACTGATTATCGTCGCCGCATTCCGAACGCGAGCCATTCTAGAAGACGGGAACAACAATGGAGCGGCTCCAGTCGGTTGGAACAGTCTTCTGCTTCCACAGTTTCACTAGTAATTCATGTAAAGCCTGTCCACTAAAAGTCTGCGCGCATCCTCTCCAATTGCTCCTCCCCTACTCATGCACTGTATCCGTTCTCCACGTTAACATCGGACTGTCTTCGTACGTCACCGATTCCTGGTGGTGCAGAGAAATACAGACTACTGATGAGTCCCACTTGGACGAAACGGTTGTCTAACGTTTCCGACTGCCTGAAAAGCCATCTGCTTGGAAGTTGACTGCAACGAATCATCTCCTGGTTGCCACAAAAATCCCCTAACGCTTGGTAAACCAAGAAACATGCTACATTTACAAATGCATTATCACCAATTTACCCTGATAACTATATCATTTCTCAATCAATTTCGTCTATAATACAACCAGTTTTCTCCATAAAAAAATCATATTCCCCGTGAGTCACACAAGGTTGTTTTCTACCAGTCAAATTGCATTCAGCACGAGTACATGCACTTATGTTTCTTTGTCGAAATACTTGGTCATTTCGTAGGTCATTATCCCCTGGGTTTTCTTCCGGTGCTAAGAAAACGGTGCCTCTGACTAATTCATGTATAGTTTGACGGGCTTGTTCGTTCGTTTGCGCCTTTCTCGTTACCCGTGTTCTAGAATCCCAAGCTCATCAGGCCACTGGTTTGATTCCTGTTCTGTCTCCAGCTGTCTGCGTATACGTATACGTCCTGTTGTTTCTTCCCGTCTCTCCGATTCACACTCACCAGGCTGAAAAGCATAAGGTTCTCAGTAGGGAATAGATCGAATAATACTAGCAGCCATTACCATCAGCTTATGTGGTCACCATTACGTGTTCTCAAGGGAGCGATCTCTCCTCCATACGCGGATACCGTGATATCATATGCGCATCTAGGAACTCACCTTGGGTTCAGATCTCGTCGTCTGTCAGTGCATTGAAACGCGACTATGTTCTTTCCTCACTATAGAACGGCGATCGTCAACATCAGCTTCTCAGAACATTCCCTCACCCTGCATCGATATTGAGGAAATACACACATTCATGCTTGTCGAGTTACGGTGTAACATAGTGGTCCCTGCGTGTGAATAAAATGTCCACAGGAGTTGGGAGGACTTACTGCGCTTCCCTGTGATCTAGCTTCCTCTCCAGCAGGTTAATAAGACATTTATATCGACGTAGCCGCACTTCATTAACGATTTTCTATTATAATCTCTACTGATGTCAATGAGCTGTACCAAAAATAGTTACTGATAACAGCCACCCAAGCCGCTGCGCACCGTCCTCAAATGTCCGGTTCTTCAACTAGAACAAAGTAAAATACCATGTAAAATCCGCACATAAACGTACAGTCCCTCCGTCTTCTCTCATCTATCACGTGTTTAATGTACCAGTTGACATTTGTACATATTGGTTTTATTCTTGTTCACGGGCTAGCTCTTGTTACCGGTATTCGCCCGTAGTGACCTTGTTATTCACACTAGGGGCACGTGTGTTGGGTCAAGTGCACAAAGCACTTTCTTGGCTTGCGTTGAGTTGAATTCAGGCGCTACACAACCGGTGCATCAGTACATGAGTACTTCCTACGGGTGTTTACCTACCAGGAACCGTAAGGTTTGAGAGTTGACCATACGAATTGGTAGGAAGATGTTAAGTTATGTAAACGATTTGGGATTATGCTACACCAAGAAAACCTTCGGGAGTAAGGAGCCTGCAATTTCAGATGGGGACATCAGTTGACGCGTTGTGTAATGGCGCCCTCAATTCGGATGTTCTATTCGAACCGATAATAATTTCAATTAGGGCGGCGTCACGTGAGTTTAATTAGCGTTCAGCGGGTGATCAGTTGGTATGCTTCGCATTACCATGATAGCTTCAATGTCACTGCCAGCTGATTCTGCACGCAGAGCCTCGTTTGCTGTCGATCGATCGATGATCACTACACCAACGAGCTTGAGTATGCGAGGCTTTAGCTATCCAAGAGGACTGCGAATGGCGCGTCTAAGTTGACTTGGTGACCGGTATTCGATAAATGTATTGTGGTTGTTGCAGAATATTAGTGTGGATTTATTGTGTTTTCTGTGAAGATTAAGTGAAACAAGATTCAGACAAACAGCCACCGCACACTCAAGAAAGCGTCTCGCAGTTGCAAAATTGATTTTGCTTTCCGATTCCATCGAGTCAAATGTCAAAGATTCCGGCCGTTTGCACAAACACTGGGTTGTGTTCATCGATTCGGACACAAACTTTGATCAGTTCAACCCACGTAGCTATACGTATACG